ATCCCAGAGTTTTGCCCATCTTCTGTACCCTATGGTTTATAATTTCAAATGTTCCACTGTAGCCTTTTCATTTCACTGTGGAAAGATGTTACATCGAGCAGCCGGGAGTTCTCTTTTGATCAGTATTTGTTCTGCTGACCCTTCCACAGTCACAGAAAAACGTGTATCTACCTGAAACACTCCACTACAAAGACGTAAATAAACAATCCTCCTTTCATTCTCTATGACAATTATCTGAGAAATAAGGGATGATTTTGGGCATGTCTGTGTTAAACTTTGAACTACTAAGCAAAGTCTTCGGTAACAGCGATATTCTTGGGGGGGGGGGGGGGGGGGCGCCCATGTGCAGCTATATTATAGCACAGGATCCAGAAATCTTCATTTATAAAAGAAATCTTCTAGGTCGCATTATGTTAAGATGAAGAGCCATTCAGTGAGAAATATGGCAGTGAATATCTCACTCATGAATATACAGATTTACGGATATTTCTACAAATGTGGAGTACGCCGAAAATATGCTAGATAAAATGTACAGACACTGATAACATACAGACGCACATACTCTGACAGCACGTGTTTGTATTCGAGATAAGGGCTATCAAATACTAAATTATACTTGAGAAATGTGAGAAGGCTATTTGTGCTACGCTGTTGCCTATGCTGAAGGCATTTAATATTTTCCGTACTGACAGTAATTTAGAAAAATGAAATCTGGGGTTCTCATGGCGGTGCAGATATCGATGTAGCTTTGGGTTGTAACACCGTGTGGATTCGTACGTAGAAATAATAGTTTTGAAGAAACATACTGTCTCCATCTTCAGGTCTCCGAAATGTTCGTTTCTACCTATGAGTCCACACGGCGTCATAACCCAGAACAACATCGATAACTTTATAAAAGAAGAACTGTCACATTGAAACTTAAAATTTAAATTGTTGGGAAGCCAGAAACTTCTAGCTTAAATAATCAAGAGGCAGCATGATAATTTACTTTCGCTCATTATCAAATTCAGTTGTTGTCCAAAGGAAAAATATATTATAATTCCTACTGAGATAACAGTCGTTCATAGCACAGAAAGGGTCATGTACAGATACTACTAGGATAATCTTCGTAGACAATCAACATGTGCTGTCAGAACTTTAGTCTTTCATCTGAAGGGACAAAAACTGTATGGATACACAACATATATTCCTACAGATTTCTGACACAATTTCTGTGCATGTAGATAATTAAAAATGTAAAAGACGCTGACCAATGAATTTCCTCCCTTGAACTATATTACCTGGTGTTCTGTTTCATACAGCTCATAAAAAGTAGAGAATTGCTGCACACATTCTACTCTTACATTACAATGAAATGCAAACTAAATTCCGTAAGTAAGTATAAAAGTACAAATGACTCTCGCAAATGCTCTTTCGCTATTCGCACATCCGCGGTTCTATTTTAGAGTCACAGAATCATCAGTATCTGATCCGCGGCCACAGTAGAAGCTGCCGCGCAGGCAAACTTAACTGCGCGCGCAGTTTCACTAACTCCACCCACCATTTTTACTCCAGGGACTATAAATTAAGACCTCTCATGGTTTATCACTCAGATAACCCATGTTATACGTTCCCCGTTCTACGCGCCGATTATCAAGAACACAAACCCCGTGTATAACAACACTCACCTGCAGCTAACAAACCAACACTAACGCACAATGTCTGGCTTGAAAAGTTCACAAAGTTCCTGCTGCTACGCAATTCGAGGGTTTATAACTGCAACTGTCAACACAGAAATCAACACAAAAGCACTGAAGAAGTGGTGACGTTCCTGGCTTGTAGGCGACTGGCTTCTTAATGGGAACACGCTACAGTGGCTGTTGGATGTGCCCGGTAGTTGAAGAACAGCACGTTTTTTTCAGAGAGTGAAGGCAAGGTAGGATTCTGAGCTGAATATTATTCAAATGATACACCGTGTTATTACTTATAGGGCTAAACAGTAATTATGAGAACTTCATAATTATGAAGCGACAAAATGAGAAACAGACACGCTGAGAGGAAGGAAGCAATCAGTTGGAATTTCATCTCACAGATAAGCTTACAGGAAGTAATTATAATCGCACACCCTTCTAGAGCATAAAGATTACTCTTTGCATTTAACACCCCACTTCACCTCTCTTTCACCACAGATGAAAGCCGGAGAGACAAATACCAAATGGAGATAGTTATCTGCTACCTGCAAAGCCAGATGAGAATATCAAACGCTTCATTTTCACGCATATAAAACGGGCAGTTTTGGCTGGGTTTTAAATCCAGTATCAGAACTTAATACCTAAAATTTGTTTTTAAATTACTATGCTTAACTGCTGATTAACACTCCAATAGAAATATTAAGGGTATGGCAAAAAAAGTGTGAAGGGAATAAACAATAAGAGAGATCTCGAAGAACACCCAAACGGATCTTGTAGAACGGGCGCACCGGATTAAAATGGTCCGGGAAGAGGCACAATGCTGATCTGTAAACATGGTGATGAACTTGCTGGTTCCACAAAAGGAAGAAATTTATTGGCTAGATGAGTTACTCTAAAACTTAAAACAATACTTTACCATGGTCTGGCGTATCTACTTTTTGTAAGACGATATGTAGTCGGAGATTGTTGAGTATATGATGTAATCTTACGTTTTATATCGCAGATAGAGTATGAAATTTTCGTCGGACAGCATTACAAAATATCAATACTTTTGGTTCGCCAAGAAGAAGTTATACGACACGGCACACATTCGCTGCTGCTGTCTCTCTTTCCTCTCAGTCTGTTTCCACTTTCATCCATATCTCTCGTATTATTCTCCTGCCTGCTTCTAATCTTCCTTCTTCTGCTTCGTCCCTCTGTAGCCCGATTCAGGTCAAGGCCTCCTCTCGGTGGTTTTCCGAATCTTTGTTCAGATAATCGGTATAGTTATAATAGTAGTCCTTGTATGGCGGATCAGTCTACAGCACGGCGCAAGGATTTCCCAGAGTCGTGTTTTAATAAGTCCCTTTGCCGCATACGTCACGTGTTCTGAACTACTAACACAGAAGTACTGACCAAACAGATTAGATTAAGCCGTGTCCATATCTTTCAGCCGCGGATCTCTGGAATAAGCTCTGCCCCATAACTCGATCGATTAAAGAAATTTTCCCGTCTCTTTTGGAGTCCCAATTATGGAGCATTCATTTTGCCTGTTTCATCGTCTTTCATGCAACCAGCACTTTATTTCCACTACACTTCATATTAGAACTTGTAAGAACAAAATTGGTAGGGTGGAAATTAGCATCTTGAAGAAACACGGCAAGAAAAGAACGGAGAAAACTACACAACAAGGAGTTTCAAATTATGTATTCTTCGCCAAAAACTGTTAATTCAAGATTGTCTCTGTCCCCTAGTACCTGCTGTGAAGGCGTATTGGAGACGTGGAGGATGAAATACAGAAACACTAGGTTTGTGAGACATGAAACACACAATTCATAATCATTTTTATCGGGAACTTTGCATTCAAGTGACCACTTGTGACACAAGATTTGGCCTAAATGGATCTTACAAAAAGAGCCTTATCATGTTAAGTGGATATTACATGCATTAAGATAAAGAGTCTGTCGTCACGATGAAGAACCTTCATCGGGTTGACTAACACTCCTCAAGGAAACCCCCTGCATCATGAAACTGACCGAACACACGATAGGATACAATGCCGTGTTCTTTAAACACAGCAGTGACCCTGAAGCCCAGTTAACTACACGAAATTCCTTAACCGGCTGAAGAAGTCAAGTGACTCAGAAGACATCGCACAGTAGCTGTTTGTTTCTTTGTTTGTTTATTTATTTTTCTAATGAAGTTATTACTAAAATAGGTACGAAGCTTTGGTGACATCACTGCCCTGGGTGAGCAGACGGCTTAGTTGAGATGCAGGTCACATCGGGAATCTCCGCTCGTCTCATCCACTTGTCGGGATGCTACACTGGTCCAGTCCTCTTTGTCAGCTTCCCATTAGCCCCCCCGCCAAGCCTTTCTTCGTACCCAATCATGGGAAACGTTAACTGACAGGTTTTCCACTAGTAGTGTCGACCGCTCAGTTTCTCATCCATAAAACGTATTTTAACCTGTTAAACTCAATAACCTACGTAAGGGATGTAAATTGGTGGTTTTATCATTACTATTATTAAAGTAACTTTGCTTGGAAGAAAGCTGTTTGCAGAAGGCGACCACACGGCGGGTCTTTCTTGAAGGCCGATGTCTTCTGTTAGTAACACGTCTGTATACGCAATAAATTAACACAAAACTCAATGGAGAATATAAAATGGCACAAACGACGGATGTGTAAATTCTGCATAGTGTACTTTAAACTCGAAAACCCATTTTCATATTTGTAAATAAAATCTTCGCTTTTAACGATTTATTATACACTTGTAATTTTAACCGTCTGCTTTGAAAGTCGTCAGTAACTCTAGAGGTGCCCTCAGCGGGTGCTCCCCATATTTCGTTGTTCTCTCGGAGTAATAAGCGAATTCTTCCTTCTTTCCCGAACAGATTGTCCCCACAACGAAGACGCGTTTTCTTTCAGGTACAAACCAAAGTTTTTATCATTGTTTGCTTTACATGAACTTTGATCTTTGCAGCGTCGTTGTTGTATCTTGGTTTCAGTATTGACGGTCTGGATCTAATTCCGCGAATGGCAGTTAATGTCGGACGTTTCACATCGCATCCTCCATCACCGACTGGCTGTAACACAGCACCAATTGACGTTCAACGATCAATACACTCAATTGTAAATTCTGTATGCATCAGAATCCAGGGCAGAACAAGCACTTGCAGAGCGCACTAGTTCCAGATATTCTATTTCCGAATATTCTTCATAGGACTATTTGGCGTTTGTTGCTGGTGAATTTAAGATAAGACTACTCTTTTTTTCTACCATATCGTTTCTAATTCATGGCATTTGTCCCTGAGCCCAAACACCGCGTCATGAGGGCAAAACTCCATGAAAACTAGATCCGGGATCTAGGTGGTGATTATTATTGGTCACCTCCGTGCGTAAGGCATAGGCCTACTAATGCTAACGGGGTATTCAGACTTAAGAGAAAAAAAATAACATAATTCAGGAGAAACGTTAAACTCTATAATGAAGAGCGATTTAATTTGTAATTTTTACCAAATATTAAGCAAGATTTGAAGTTCTCAAAGCGGTGAGAACGAATATGGCTGTCTTCTGGACTGTAGCGTAGTTTAGTCTGATAGAAGTTTGCCAACGACTCATCGCCCTGATGACGAAAGCAGCAAGGACCTCTGAAATGTTGGTAAACTTCTACCAGACTACAATGCGCCACAACCCATAGGGACGGCGACCTTTTTACCGAATATTGTAGGTGTGATCAAATGAAACAGCATGAGGCCAGCAAAAGACGCAGGTCATGTGAGGCAAAGACGATACAAAGGTAGAGATCACTCGAAAAACCTAAGCAAAGACAAGAAGATAATATTACAATTAATCTTAAAGTAAGAAGATGGAACAGAACTCGGCTGAACTGAAGCAGCTTACGATTCCAATAACACACTTTGGCAGAACGGTGATAGATGATAACAGTTTCACAGCAAGAAATGTCCAGCTCACTTGCTTAAAGATACAAGAGCGTTTAAAGCATAAAGTATCTGTTCTTAACTTCTAGGTAGCGACCCAAGATTGGGTTACGTCTCAACAAAATCTGAATGTTAGGTGATAATTTGTTCGGCAATATATTGAAGGTAGGCGAGGGGACAAAGGGGCAAGCTAAACTTAGGCAATTCTGCAGGTCTTTGACTGCATCAGCTGACAAAATATGTTTGCCGAGTGGCGGGTACAAAGAGAGAAGAGTACTATTAAAACGGTAATTATTATGACAAAACATTCTCAATAATATTATTATAATCCAATGTTAATTATTATTGTCATTAATACTTTAGAGTGAACTTCACGTTTTCGTTTCGCAATAAATTACCCACCTATTTGTATGCAATGCAAATCATTAAAACTGAAGCTTGTGTTGTCAACAGTATAATTTGAATCGAGGTTAAATACTAACCCTCAGAAGCCGCTATTATGGGGGACAAACCACGTGCATAGAAAGAGTTTTGAGTGGGGCGCAGTATACAATTATTGGGCAGGAACACAGGAAGGAAGGAGAGATGTATACATAGCCATGAACCACAAGATAACAATAAACACAAGTTAAAAAGAGAAGAATGAAATGAAAGTGGAAGAAAGGCCAGTAGAGGTGATTCACGCGATAAGAAAAGGAGAGAAGAAGGTTTTAGGAAAAACAAGAGACATACGAAAACATTGGATATGCACCGCTGGTCAGCTACAGTCTTGGTCATAAGTATTCGTACTGCCTAACGTTTTCTGGTCCATCATCAAACAGTTTTACAATACTTATGAGCTATAAAAACAACAACAAAAAATTGCCTGTTAGTCGTGGATAGTATAGTAGGCAATTACAATACTTGTCAGCTGACACAAAACGAAACTATTGGCATTTAATGCAGTAAAAAGTAATAAAATCAGATTTAATAACACTACTCAGTAATTAAGGTAAACAAGATTGCAAGTTTGGAATGCAATCAACAATTTTAAATAAAATTCACAAAATAAAAACGCTCTTTTCCCCAAAAACACGTCTTAGAATCTTCACTTTAAAGCAAGTATCTTTTCCGCAAAGCCAATATTTTTTTGTTCTAACTTATACTTGGAGCTGAAAGTGACATTTTCGTTTAAAGGAGGCGAAACATACGCGTTTCACGTTCATCTCTCAGACCGAAAGACCTCGAATGATATTTAAAAATTTAAAGAGTTGCACATGCAATAGTATTATTTTTCATAAAATCATGAAAAGAAAACTAAACGTGTCATAAATTCACATAATTCAACGTCTTCGTGAGGTCGTTAATTTTACGTAAAAGCAAGAAGGCTGGTTATTCAGTATTAAGGGGAAACCTCAAACAAAACAACAAAACGCTCGTCTACGTTTGATACTACAACCAACAAGGTTAGCTTAGGCAGCGAAACGATTGAGAGATGTGCCGTTCGCATCTTGACGTATCTCGTAGTTCTTCCCAATTCCCCGGCTAATAACAACATATCAACTTTAAATATGCCACAGAGGCTTCCTCAACAATATCTTTAAAACAATCGACTGTAAATGACTTCTGCAGATGATACAGCGCTCTAAAAACTTGCAGGCTATGCTTTTTACTCTATTTGACGACCCTTTCTCAATATGTTTAATGTCATGTATACCTGCCTATCCTCCTATCTCCTCTTCGGTCTTTCAACTGGTTACTTTCCAAGACGTTTTATATATCTTAAAACTTGTATTTGGATCGATTGATTGATCGACTGATCGATCGCTTCTCCTGCGCGAACTACACGCACCAACATACACATAGCCAACTTCGAACACTCTTTTCTCAATATGCACAGATAGTAAAGTCACATGACATTCTCACACAACTCGTGTTACAGTGATCACGTGATGTTAGCCCAGACTGATGGTAGTTTTAAAAACATCAGTTGGTGTAACAAGAAAGTAAATTTCCATTCGGAGGTCGGATTAAATTTTGAACGGTTTAACCCTTCACAGTTCGATGGTTAACTACATGAACCAGAAAGTAATCAGCATTAATAAAAAGAAAGTCTCAAATGATGGTATTATTATATCCTAGTATGTTATCAATACCTCAAAATAACACGAATTTTACTTATTATGGCCAAATAGCCAGACCTCGTTCTGGATATAAGCTACAGACAAAAGAAGAACTACTCACTCACCCAATTTAAAGTAGCCTAATTGACATTTTGTTTTCAGTTCATGGGTTTCAGTTTAAACAGATTTTTCCTCTATTTAAGTAATAAGGGGAGTTCTAGGAACCTTGTACACTGATCAGGACTAGTTGCGAGACATGAATACATAGATCGCCAAAAGAACTAATTTCGTTCCAACGCTTACCACGTCACAACACGGAAAGCCGTTTCGACACAATTTCATTTTTGTGAAGTCACCACGTTTCCAGATGTTAATTGAGAGAATGTTCTAAAAACATATGCTAAAGTTGTCATTGTGTTTCACGTTATGAAGGTACGTATGGAGTGTAGGCAAACCTCCACGCATTCTCAGTCCGGGCACTCGACGGAAGTGGGTTCAGGCCGCTTTACCATCGGCAAAGCAGACGATGGTACGGACTGGATGAAAAGCTGGATGTACCGACCTAACGTACCAGCGGTGGTAAAATGTGAATTACGTTCCCTACTGGAAATAATCCGGCTCGTTGTCAGCCACTTTAATGATCACTGTGGCTCAATAATAAACTCTGCCCCTGGACTTCTAACACTACTACGCAATTAAGAGCCGAGAATCTTAAGTTAGGAATGCACAACAAACAAAACTAAGTTGGACTAGAGAAGAAATCAAAGAAGTTGTGGTGTTACGTGTACCAAATTGAGGCCAATATTAACATAGCCCTTATTTTATTTCAAATATATTTTTCCGAAGCTACCATATAATGACACTCAGAAACAGGGTCCGCGGACAGAAACCTAGTAACATGATGTCAAAATAACCATAATAATTTAATCCAGTTCTTTGTCATTAACGTGCTTATTCAACAGCCAAATGGTCAATAACACGAATAATAACAATAATATTCTTGTCCCGAGATATTTCAAATCTTCAACACGAGCAAATAAACACAATTTCATTCACAGCATTTCGAAAGAACATAACTTAATGACATACTGCAGTCGGGGCGAATCTGTGCGTTTTTCCTAAGTTACTAGTTTGTATGCAGAAGGAAAACAAACGCTTATACTATGCAAACTAAAAACATATCGGTACACAAAATGAAACAGCGAGCTACAAAGTACTGCCGCTGGGAAATATGACTATAGTGCCTACTCAGTTATATTGAGGTCATTCGTTGGTAAGGTCTATAGGCCAACATAAATGACTTGCATACCTCTTGGACACATGACGTGAACCAGAACAAGCAGCTACTGTGAATGCATGTGACTAACCCGTGCAGTGAAGAGACTGGCGCATATGTGCTAACGAGAAAGAGCGTGCAATATTCAGTGAGGAATACAATCTTTCTTCAACAGAACGTAAAACATGAAGAAAGGATACATTGTGGGTCTGTGTCTGACTTCCCATCCACACGAAGGTCCCTGGGCGTATTTAGAGGAAGAAGTTTTACAAAAATCAGTTTAATTTTGTATATCAAGTTATTGAACTCCTAAATACCTTCTCGGATTTTGATAATCTTTACAAAGAAACTACCAACGGAAAAAAAAACTAGTTTCTGTGTAACATTCAAATGTTAATTCAACCGTTTACTAGAATAACTAATTGAACTATAACATCTAAACCGGCACCAATTTCATTCGTTGCCTTTCTAAGAAGGATTTTTTCGATAAAACGTAATTTCAGATTATATAACACCGATGGACAATTTAATGCTTTGCTTCACATCACCGAGTTATCTCATTTAGAAATACTGGTTTAATGATGCTGGTAAAAAGTCAGTCCCTTGCTATATGTTCGAGTCGTTTTAGCTTTTCAAATTATATCCTTCCTACCTATTGCTGCCATGGAAACACAAAAAATACGGCACTTTTTTATAAATAAAACTCAGCATGAAAAGGATTAAGGATTCATTTTCATATTTCAACTATCCGAACTACAGAATTCTACGGAATAATAACGTTCACGTTTAGTTTTGTGCATCGAAATCACTTCATTTGCCATTACCAACAGATTAAAAAACAAGCTCACCAGAATAAAAAGTTACAAATGGTTGATCAGATATCTTCAGTACTTGTAAAACAAAAACGTTGCAAGAATTTGCAGAGAGAATGGAGAAGGTACAGCAACGTAGAATAACCTGGACATTTTAATGGCTGACCTTATTACTACCAGCGCCAAGACAACGAAACAACTAAGCAATTCATGAGGATTAGTGTCTCTTGTCAAACTACGAAATTACGAAGTTAATCAGCACAAAGAACAAGATCATCTTTAACCAGTCAATACTGGTAAGAAATATGATTAATTAACAACAATAACCAACTGTAATGTAACATGGCATCGAAATACGTAAGCGGACGATTAGACCCACGCATCGAAATCTCGAAAGCATGTGGGAAACAGTGGTACTAACTAAAAGAGCTGTAAGAGTTCTTCAGCAACAACACGTTTGTTTTGTTTGGATGTTAAAAGTTGCTTCTTAATTTAAAAAAGCAGCAAGTGTGTAAGAAGTCAGGAAATATATGCAGAGAGTTAACAATTCTGGTGCGTTTGCCAGAATGTGGCCACCAGCCTCTGCGAATATTTCCAGTGTCTTCAGAGTTGTCTGGGGTCAATTCTATTTGCGTGGGCGAGTGTCTGTCGCCTGTCTGTCTCGCTGGGTGATGAAATAAATGAGGACTCTCCAACTTGGTTGCGAGGCAGATTGGGGATTCCAACTTATCAGCAACAAAAAGGCGTACTTTTCTATTTCCAAACGGTTAGAATTTGCTTACGTTTCCGAACAAACGTCAGCCATTTATTTGCACAGATTATGATGTACAAAGTAGTTCGTTCTTTCGGCCGGTCACGTGTTCAAATCTCCGGTCAAAACTATACAAAAGTTATAATATTACAAAACAGCAGACAGTATACATAAACATTCTCGTGGCAATTAATGGCGAAAACGATCCGTTCTGTAGACCTGGGCCTACTACCTGTATTTCAGAGGAAATATCAAGCACGTGAAATTTGTAAAAACACCGCTAGAACAGTTGTTTAAAAACAAGATAATCGATAATCATACAGGTAAAAGTGTTCCGGTCCCTTACTCACCACGCCAAGAAACACTGAGGTGAAGGTTAAAGTCTGGCACTAATTGTGCAATTCTTACGAATTCAAACCAAAACACGAGCAAATCTAAGAGAAATAACAAATGGTCATTCAAAAATGGGAACAAACAGAAGTTCTAAAAAGAACATGCGACTTCACTTCTAATGCTAGCTTCTAGCAGGAATCATAAATTAATAACTACAAAACTTAGCAACCTATTTCTGTCCTTAATTTCCAAAGGAATATTCCCGCCATCTGAATGTTCCCATGCATAACTTAGAACTTCGAGCCGTTGTATTTATGATTCTTTTAACAATCCCACTATTCGTGTTAGGACACTGAGTAAGTACCACATCATATGCACAATCAACATTATATCCCCAATAAAAATTAGAGAAGTAAAAAGTCAGTTTTTACCCGACTCCCTTTATGTTATAAGGCGTGCTGTAGAGTTTATCAATGCTACCACAATTACGACGGTGTTTTTCCCTACTCTACGCCATTCGCCTTCGAATCAGCTGACGTATTTTCACGGTCCTTCAGACACGCAACTTCAAGGCATTCTTTTTAGAATATAAAACAATATGGCGGCAGCGAGAAATCTATACCCAAATTAGCTTTCTGGTTTGTCTTAAATTAATAACCAACTAGCGGAGCGAGGCATGTGAAATTCTGCTCGGAGATAGATCATACATGCCCACAAATTCTGTGGCATTTCCTTGTTGCGTCAGCAAATAAATTAGAGGGGCAATGCAAACGCGAGACTTTATATCTGACAAATTCAATATGGACGAAATGTTTATTTCTGGAAATCATGCACGAAAATTGCTCACTAAACTGTACACTTATTAATTTACGGTCTTTCTTCACCTCACCTTAGAATGACGTAAACATATCTGAATAAAAATAAGTTATTTCGAAAATTATTAATTTTTTTATTTCTTTCGTGCTGACAGTCGTAAGTAACCGGAGGAGGGGAAAAAGATTAACGTTCAGTAATCTCGCATTTTACCCTCCCGGTGTGTATATATGCTTCGTTTCGTTCTCAGAGCAAATAAGTATTGTTTGTTTAAAGATCACTGACTGACTGACTGACGTTTGTATCGGAGATGCAGTGTGTTTTCTTGAAAGTAGCAATCACATTTTAATTGCTATTCAACTAAGCTGTTTACTTAAAAATGTGTTAATGAACCAATTAGCATATCTCACCGTATGGATGTGAAAAGCGATGTATTTGAGCCCTAGTTCCATTCACAGCTGAATAGCATTTCTAGGAATATTTTTATGGTAAACACTATCATAAAAATGTGTTCGCTTGTCGTGGTGACTGTGCTGACAGAGAGGAAAGCTACTAGAAAATAAATCGTACTCCAAGCTACAATAATCTGCCTTTCTCCTCATGTCATTTTTCAAAGGCCAGTGAATCCAAAACCACGTTCCCTGCGAATACATTGTATCTAACAAGACAACTTTATCAAAGTCACAACTCCGAAAGCTGGCTGTGTAACTAACCATTTAAGCTGGAATCAAAATACATACAAAGGAAGAATTATGATGTATTCCGTTTTTAAATATTTTTCTAATAAGAAATGAGTGTTAGCCTGAGAACAAGTTTTCATTAAAAATAAAGGACGGAGGAAAACTAAGAAACGAAAGCAAGAAATAATATAAGATTTAAAATATTACAACATTATAACGAACAACAAACCTACGGGTGCAACTTTCTGTTGGAAACGAAAAGTAAATTCTTATGAACGTGTATCATCAGAAATTAAAGACAACACAACACAGACACGCCATAATTTGGCGATGCAACTTACACGTTCGCAACGAAATTAAAACTTTTTCATTCCAACTCCTATTAAGTGTCAATTGAAGCCTCAACGCGTCGGTCATACACACACCTCTGGAGCGGTAATAGATGGTTACAGAACTGACCGAGGGAAGCCGAAATAGCCCACTCGGAAAGAACGCCGCTCCAGCCAGCCCACACAAATCTCACACGAACTGTAATATGACGGCACAAGGCACTGGCTTCGTTAAGGAAGTATAAAATCGCCCTGGACTGGAAACAGTCTAATGTGCCAACGATGTCAGGCCTCTAACAACTTCCAGAGAAACAAAACCACCGAAAGCAACCTCCCGCCTTTTTTTAACTTTAGGACAGGAGAGAACCACGAGAAAACTTCAAAGGGTTCCAAAACTGCTTAAACACCCCTCAGTTAAACTGAATAACATCCTGTACGGTTATAAAATATCCCAACATTTAGCATAATCTCTAGTACGAAATTTCATCTTAATCCGTCAAGTTCTTCTGCAGATGAGCACGTTCATTCAACGCACAATCCTACATGGCGAGATAGATGGAGCTGAGTGCTCAGCATAAGTTCAGGCCGTTTTAACCCTGGGTTAAGGGCCTTCATCAGGTACGCGGTGACTACAGATGGCCGAGGAAGTTACACGTGCTGGTGAACAAAAATATCCTCGTTGAGATTTCAGATTCTCATAGGGACGAGTGTTTAGTCTGGTAGAAATAGGCTGACGTTTCAGAGATGTTTACTACCTCCATCATCACGGTGCAAAATCTCAAGAAATAGCCATCGTCAAAAAATGCTTGCCCCTGACAGGAAAAAATTCCAGTCGTCCTGTTACTTCATGGTTCGGCTCATTAAACGGATGGTCTCAATACGATTTGTTATCAAAACGCGACTTCACGTCATTACAAAACTTGTTAGTTGCACAGTGGAACGTCCTTCCGGACGAGTATAGCCTTACCTGGACTAGTTTGCCAGCTAAGCCCTCCTATAAACATCTTCCTGTAACAGAAGAAACATGTTTTATTAGCCTGGGTTACTAGTAATCCGTACACTTTGCAAAAAAGCTGCAATATTGCAGCTTTTACAAAACAAATCTATCTTATGCATCTGACTGTAATGGTAGGTGCTCTAAGCAACAGACAGAAAGAAAAACAAACAAACATTAAATTATGCATCCATAACAAATGCCACAAATGTCAGCAATCAACCATCTCCACCAGTGGACATAAAATGTTTTCCTCCTGGCGGGTTGCTTATTGAGGAATTTCCCATAAACCGTGCAGGCAACGTCTCTATCTATAAAGAAAAACAACAGGCACAGCGCACATTATGACAATTAATATGCATCAGTGGTATTAGGACAGTGATTTGTGACTAGCTGTGATAAGAGCGTACGGAAATTCTCAGCCGTCGGCTGGCTCACCGTACGTATACCCGACGTCACGTCCTTCGAGCGTAGTTTCTGCCATGACCTACTGTGGGGTCCACACATCTATAGGGTAAAGGAGGCCGGAACATGAATCAACCCACTCCTCAACCTACGCGCGTCTATCGTATGATCAATGGGCAATTGAGTAACTTAAAATTTGTTTGTCTTCGCCACTACCAACCGTGTAACGTGTTTTACAATTTTCCGTTTCCTCAACTTATTAGACTTTCTTATTCCTCGTGTTGTACTGAAGCGTCATTTTTTACGATACTTCGCCAAGAGCATAGTCTGAGGAGCCAATCCTCTTCTACCTTAAGATGTGTAGGGGTTGCAAACGGCTACCCTCCGCCCGCCCTACCTTCTCCCTGGATCTTGGCCCTGTTCCACACTACTCCTAAAGTAAGTCCCTGTAACTTCTGCGACCTGGGAAGTCTCATGCCGCATTACTAGCAGACCGAAAAACGTCGTGCTTGTTGTAATTTAACGTAAACTCCGCCAGTAACGCTTAAATCACCTGAACTGTTACAAGATAGCAACATTAATAACATAACATACTACAGATCGTGGAAAGCAGCAAGAACGTGTGAGAAATATTTGTACTAAAACCCACGCATGCGCACAAATTCATTTACCCAACGGGCTGATTACGTCACAGGTATTTACTTATTCTCATATACAGTACACAACATACACAGAATTTATTCTATATTTCTGAAAATGTACACCAAAACTCACCCACCCCTCGCATCAAAAGGCCATAATGAAACAACTCGTCCGGACTGAGAAGTATCGTTAAATGTTTCAGCAGTTCTTATGAAAAGAAATTCTGATGAAGTTGGAAGAATCATTCTCATATTAAGCCTGTCCTGTTACTACAAAACCACTGGTGCAGTGCCTGCCATTCTACAGTACGTTATCTAGGTCAAAGGTCGGCAATTACTCTCTTACAGCAGGCCATCTTGACTTCCCCTCTGACCATTACTTCGAAAGAAGGAAGCGAGGGGGGGGGGAATGGGGTTACACGACGAAATAAAATTAAAACATTCTGAAACCAAACGATTCCACTAAAGAAATTGTCTAGGGAAATCGATCTAACGTACACATTTCCAAGCAGTCTTTTGAATGGATTTTGAAGTTTGCGTGGCATTGAGTCCAAAGATGGCTGTCTTCTGGGTCGTAACGCCACGTAGTCTGACAGATACTTGATCCACTAATACGTTACTGCATAAAATTTTGCTTGCTGTGCTTAAAACAAATCACACTAAAGTAAACTCTGCATTCTCAATCAGTTCTAATAATACACAACTTGTAGCATAAAGTATCTATAATTTTAACTAGTGGGTTTATTACACACGAAATTAATTACGTCAGTTGGCAATACTGATGGTCCATGTGAACATGCTGCTGTACAAATTTTTGTCAAAATCCGTCCAGTCCGAGCAGATTACACGCGGGCAGACGGACGTCAGTCGGTAGACATGCACATGTTACTTCGTCTTCGAGGAACAGCAATCAAGTCTCCTTCAGCCCCATTCCACCGCAACTGCAAGCCGACAAACTTGCGCGACCTTGTACAGAATTTGATTCCGTCCTTCAGGAACTCCTAGAAGTATCACTATTTATAAAACGGGAGGTCATTCTAACTGGGATTCCTGGTCTTATGCCGCTTCGGCCAAACGCCGGCATAACATTTAACAATACGCAACGGCCTCCTTCTGCCATGTTTCTTCAAAAGTACCATCAACAAACACTGTCATTTGTCACTGGATGTTACGCAATACTTGGAAAGCAATCGTTAATTTTCCGAGAACCATAGTGGTCAGCTTGGAATGAAAAGTATCCAGCAACTTTCGAAAAGCTCAAAATATCGGTACTAAAGATCTTAAATAAATGCATAACAACATCTGAAACGATGATAATCAAAAACTAGAAAACTCTTTTCCGCTACAGAATCGCGCCCACTTAATTTAACATCCTGTTCCTGTAGATAATTTTTCTCTGGGGTGGAAGGATGTTTGACACCTGCACCACCGGTCACACACACAAAACTTTTGTTAAATTGGTTATATCGTTCAACATTAATTTGAAGTTTTCTCGCTCCCTGTAGTTGTTATGTATTACATGAATTTCAAGACCATCATTAATATTCACACTTAATCGAAATATGACGGCAGAGACACAAACTTTAAAGTGGATCACTATTTAAAATGCGTACCAAGAATGCGCCAGGGACACAGCAAATACAGCGACGGATAGTTTAAGTGTGTTCTGTTTGACAAAATCACTGCGAAGTATAGTACTGCGTGTTTTCAAACTCGATTCGGTGCTGTTTTCAGATTTGGATAAAGCACACGTTAACATAAGAGTCCATTAGCGTTTATTGTTTCACGATATAAGCCTTCAGAAAACCAAACACTCAATAAATTATTTCCATTAGTCTGCATGTGTTTGTAGCTACTAATCGATTTCGCCAAACATGATGCACAATTTCAAACACCAATAAATACCCTTAAACAATAAACCAGGTTATGCTGAAATGAAAGATAAAATGGAGATTTTTTATTCAGATAGGCACAATTACACACCTATCATTCGCTATCTCCGCACAGAAAATTTAGATATGAAAAGCAAACTAGAGATATAATTGCGTTCACATGTTTTTATCCATTTACGTTGTTGGCACACTATTCACAGAGATATAATAAATAACAAACACTCAAAAGGGTATGTAACCTAACAAAAGAAGTTCGGAAGTCATTCGTTTTGGAAAAATTAAATTCCTCTCAAGTCTGAAAGCAGGCCGTCACCAGTATTCCAGAATCTTTAGTGGAGACAACAAAGGGAATATTGATAAGGAAGACTATCCGGAGAAATATGTTGTTAAGGAGCATGGGAAAATACATGAAACGTCTGTAAATGGTCATGACTTTTTTAGGGCTGAAGCCGCCACCGCCACCCCCACTCACTCCGGGCCGGTCTACGGTCTACACAAAGAGCCGGCAGCAAGCCTCGCAGTCAGCCTGTGTACCTTGCCTTCCATCCAGCGTACAAAATGCACATTCACACCACATAGAGTGCACGTTCAGGTCAGCCGCAGAGGCAAACTTGGTCACACACACATGCAAGCACGTAATTCACGAAACACAGGAGTGATATAAATCATACACAAACACACAAAACCTAAAATATGACAACGTACCCTGGATCGTTGGGCACTTCCGCCGGTGATCCTCCAGCCACACTCTCCTGGGTTTGAGACTCCATTATGAACTGTATTTTGATCGTTTACTTCAAAACTACGACTAAAACTAAAGGAGAATAGTGAACCCGGTTAGGAACAGCGCCTCCCCCTTTCTAATAGCACGCTCGGACACACTACCAACACGATACTGAAGGATTGCAGCCGCTGAGTAGTGCGACAAAGCTAGCGCGGGAGGCAGGGGGCAAAGGCGGGCCTGAGAACCAACATAAAAGCTGCGCGCGCTGCCATGTTGATAGATGACCAAAACATCGACTGTGATTGGATGCAATCCGTGTACTTCTCGGTGCGGCGGTGACGTAAGATTACTGCATATTGCTCATGCGCGGGAACGCACTGAATACTACGAATAATATGTAAATAAAAGCCAAAGCTAACACGGAAATAAACACGGTGCATTGTATCTTGAAGTAAAGCAAGGAACACCCAGTGACATCTGTGAACAGTTCTTGATGACAATGTTATTCTTGACAACACTGCTTTCAAAGCACGTGTTCTCTCAAGTTATATTTATTTTTAAACATAATTATTATCACACAACTCTGATACTGGACCGCATCCAGCTCACATTTATTTCGTAAGTAGTTTTGACGTGTTTTCTAGCTTAAAGATGGCGTTAATTACTACGACCAATTTCTAAACACGTACTTAGTTAGTCATGCTGCTATAGATGGCAGTAAGAACTACACTCTGACTGCCATCTTACAAACGTAGCCAATATTAAACGTGACCAAATACAGACCAACATACATTTCTTGTCCTACTAACTACGATCACTTCATACCATTACAGGTACCTCAGGCAATGCCCACCAAATGAATTCTCACACAATCTTACGCCACAGTAAAGCGGAGCTTCATTGCACAACAGTAAAAAACAAGATCCGAGATTACTATAGTGGTCAAGATGTTCATGTTGGTCTTCAGGGTTGTATTGCAGCCAAAAAAGATATCGTTTCTGACATCTGAATGGAAGTAGTTATATTCCTTCGGAAAAGAGATATTTACCTGCGAATCCACATACTGTACAAACACTAACATATTCCAAAAAAAATTTACACATACTCATAATGGTGGCACTCATGTTACATACATTTTATACAAAATGCACCATTCCCAACACGATCATCACACATCTACCAAATCCTTTCTGAAATAACATTTAACAACAAGTTTCTTTCACAGTTTACTCCATACAGTTGTTGTTTCTTGGCTCTACAACCCGGTTGTGGGTTTTTGCCGCAGTGTCATACAGTGCAAACTTTTAAATCTGAGATACTACCAGTTTCAAATCACTACCTGCAATATTATCTATAAAACAAAATATGTCTCCCCAATTTCTTTCCATCATCCCTGCCTGGTGATAGGGCTTACTAAGAAATCATATATGGATAAAGTTATCAACGTCCACCACATGTCACCCCCTAAGAAACCAAATATAATTTATTGCTTATAGTGATCAATTTATTTTACATTTACAAGCATAATATCATGTAGCACAAACACAATAAATAATAGATATATGATATCACTCTAATAATCCATGGTGAATGGTACTAATTACAAAGCTCAGCATCATATAACTCTTTCCAGCCATCTGAAATTTGTCTCCAGGTCCCTAAGCACCTTGTTCTCAAACACCCTCAAGCTTTATTGTTCCTTTAATATGAGATGCCAAGTTTCACACCCACATAAAACACGCAAAATTACAGTTGCTAATTTTAATCATTGTCCTGCGCCGTAGCCGCGCGGTCTGAGGCATCATACTTCAGACCAGTGATACAGAATGCGCACTGGTTCGAGTCTCGGGGAAAGAAATTTCTCATGAGATTTTCGACCAGTGTATGGAACTGGTGCCAACCCAGCATCGTGAGGAAATTGGGGAGCTACAATGAGTAGCGTAATCCGGTCATGAAAACTAGCAATGGCTGGGGGTTCATCGTGCTAACCACACGTCAACCTATATCTGGTTGAATGATCGTTCACCTCTGCATGTGAACGTGAGGCCAGCAGCCGGCTAGTCGGCTTTGGCTCTCCGTATTCGGTCCATGGCCTCCTCAATTCTCCTCTTCCTTTTTACGGTTCAAGGCTGTTAGCCTTGCGACCAACCCCCAACCTGCACCTTGTCGTGGTGGTGGGGCTTGAATACCTCAGTGACCCCAAGAGCTATGCTGGCGATAGCATAGCTACTGGTAGGGCCTCCCTAGCCAGATTGGTCGAGGGGAGAGGTCAGACTAAGATATCGGTACATTAGCTACACATAAATGTGAAACAAAGGATAGTTAACATTGCACTAACACCAGTTACATAAATAAATAATTAGCATAACACTATTAATTACACTTAATAAACAATTTATGCTTCATACAGAAGCAACATGTTCAACACTTACATACACGCCCTGATTATAACTGTTATGTTGTTAGGTTGCAACCTACAGTTCCACCAGTAACAGTGAAAGCATTACAAAAACTGTTACTTTTCACCACTTTCTTCTACATACACCTGCAATTTGTGGAAGCCTGTGTCCAGCGTTCTGATAGGTACAATGCTTGGATTCATCACCTCTGTTTCTTGTTCAACAGTTTCAATCCATGGAAAGTCCTGAAATAAAAAGAAAAGGTCTTGGAAATAACTTTACATCTAGGTGAGATTTGATGTTCTTGTGGTGACAAGTATGAAGATGGCTGTCTTCTGGATTGTTGTGCCGTGTGATCTGATAGAAGTCTGCCAACACATCAGAGCTGCTTGCTGCCTCCATCACCCAGATAAATGTGTTAACAAATTTTACAAACATTCTACAATATCAAATTTCATGAAAATTCATTTGGTTCTCAACTTGTATAGATGACTTAAATATTTATCTTATTATGCACTTAGCTCTGTTCATGATTGAACACAGCCACATATTTTTCAATTGCTTAATTAGGTAATAATCCAATGTACCTGATATCTGGGTTCCTCTGCTAAGGAAACTGACACTGCTTCTATGGTATGCAGTTGCACTCTGAATGTACTCTTACTTGGAAGAGGTTTCAAGTTACTTCCAGTCATAGCAAGTTTCAAGCAAAATCCTCGAAGAGCTTCTTCACCTTTAATGAAATATGGATCATCTCTACAAGAGAAAACAGTAACTATTATATTACATCCTCTTCCCCTCAAGCACCTACATGGCATATAGTAGACAACCTTTTTCTAATTATTATTATATTACATCCAAGATAATTGGCTTAGAGGCCACATGTAGATACCAGTGGCCTCTTCCATGTCCCACGGAAAAATACAATTGCTTTCGTAAGAATTCTTGCAACACAGAAGCAGTTTAAAAAATTAAACTGAAATGTTTCCTATCAAAGTCTTCTATCACATATTCACGCACAATTTAACTCACATATTTTGAGAGTTTATTACTGTGGGCAATGCCTCCAATTAGAGACTTACTGAACTTCATGTCCTGTGCCCACCTGGAAAATGAGGGAACATACCATTATGTACCTATAATTTAAACCATTCAGACCTATGGTTGGAAATTTTAATCCTGGGACAAGGTTTTGTCACTTTCTTCTTGTAGTTTAATGTAAATCTCACAATGTTGTAAAAGAAAACAGTTCAGGAAATATTTAAACAAGAAGTTTGAAGTTTTGTTAGAAAACATGGTTCAATAAACTTCCCACCTTGCAAAAACAGCCTCCCTACACAATTAGCCTAATGAATTTCCTATTTATTCTCAATGTATTATCATGGGCTTCCAAAATTTGGTGAGCTGCAATTCCCGATGCTCACAGATTTTTACATATGTCACTGTTGTGGAAAAAGAAAAGAAAAAATGCAAAAAATTTACACCGGATCCATTCAGTATTGAAGCCAAGATCTATTACAATAAGGACCAGCACTTTACCACCTCTAGACCACCAAGAACTCAAATTAATAAATTTATAATGACAGACTTATCCAATGACTGAATTGGTAACCCCCACTTCTTCACCTAAAAATAGAAACAGATCCAGTTTTGGAATACCAGACAATGGACAAAGGGTCATAGGTACAATCCCTGTCCACATCTGGGAGGCTTCACATCTGCCAGAACATAAACTTTAGTTGCATGTTATGGAGAATACCAGACAACCACCATGGTTCAGGGACCACATGCAAGGTCCCTCTGCCAGCTATCATCCTATTACTGTGATTAGCAAAATTTTTTCCATATAATATAACCCCAGATTACATTCCAGACTTTCCCTTAAAAACTTTCTGCAGGAATCTGACAAAACACCAAAACATTTTTCTTAATACTTACTGGTTTAATGTTCTGTTGAGATCCAGGATATCAAATATAAATCTCTCCACTGGTATCTGAGCTTCATCAAAAAATACAACAGTTACCTTTCTCACTTCATTCTTTGTTAGCAAATCTTTTATTGTTTTAAGACATTCTGTTATGTATTCATTTAGATAAGGGTGGGTAGACATCTGAACTGGAACTCCATATTTCTTTCTTCTGACAAATATACTTGTTGGATAAATGTTTCTTACATATAAGACATTGTGGATTGCAACTTCCAGAAACTCAATCAAAATGTCAGATGCTGTGACACACAAAGCAACAGTTAAACATATTGATAAAAAGTAATTAATCCACACATCACAAACTTCATGTCTTTTTTCACACTGCATGGAAGGAGGCATTATAGATGCATAAATAATCACCTCAGCATTTAAGTAATTTCTAACCAAAAACAATAGTCTGTGGAGCTATACCTCCACTCCCCCACATGTCTGCATGGTATGATGCTTAGTTATGCAGAAGGGACAACTTTACTTTCATTTCAGGATAAAAGTAAAGATGTCCCTATGTGCAACATTGTTTGTCATGAAGGCATTTAAGGAATTTGGAAGAAGAAAATGGACAATGTTCAGCATAATTAAAGCAAAGTGACATTTTCAGGAGTGCAGTAATCTGATTCTTCAACTGTTACCTTCATATTTGTTTATGGTGAAGTAGTTCATGGTAGGTAATGATTTAACCTCTAATGTGAGGCAATGTTAAGAGTTCTTGATATAAATTATATCAGTACATGATAATATGTGTGAATTAAATGTAGTGTACATGTGTATGAACTTTAAGTAACTTTAAACAACAATGTTCACAAATGTAAGGCCAGCCTTCCTTTTCCTGTTCCTAGTGATGGTTACATGAATTCCATCAACATAAATGGTAAATTACAAGCTTTTAATAATCACATACACATTACCGGATAACCGAAAGATATACTGTCATAGGTGAAACTTTCACATAACCTACAAACTTATATGGGCAGAGGTAATACAGATAATCCTGTGAACCCAAACCATTTCTTGCAATCTCACCGCAAAAAACGCGATGTGTATACCCATGTTAGGATCTACGTACCACATGAAATGACATAATTCTAACATCAAAGCAATAAGTAGAAAGAAGAAAAGTTGAGACAAATCTCTTTTTGTATGGGGAAATGCAAGTTCTACACACGTCAAAATTACTTAAAATTGTCAATATATATACCTCGCAGGAATGAGAACGTTATATTTTGTGGTCTCACACAAGCCAACATAACCTATCTTTACCTGCGTCTCCGCCATCTGTCCCTGACTCCATGCTGTGTGAACTCGTTTGAAATACTGCATATTTCACGTTTGAATCAATTTAATCTCGCGTTGATTTTCAATTTCAAACATTAAACTTCCCAACAAACATACCACAGATAACACGATCAGGTGGTACAATCTATCTGTGAACGGAGCTATTTCTGCAGTTGGTACTGTTCGTGTTATTTCGTAGTTCATTCTTGCCAACTCTGATAATAATTGCTTTGGCCTTGATTTTATTCAATGCGGACAGAATAAAGGAGTATTAAATATTGTAACATTTCAAACATAGTAAATACAGATCATACCAACAAGGTCTGAAAGTCACATTCAGAAAATACCAACAAACAACACTTTCAGAACATGTCTAAACTACTTAAACACATAAATTTCACTATTAACAATTCCTTGGAAACTGTATAGTATATGGATAAATAAATAAAATAGCACTATACCAGAAATATGTTTATTAGCAAATTACTGTACCCAGTAAATTACTATACACAGAAATTCCACTTGCCATTGTTTGCTATCTGTACATAAGGACATACACTTGAATGTTATTTTTTACATATGAAAATGTAAAATAAAAAAACTTCAAATATTTGGATATTGTAGTATACTCACAAAAAAGTTCCAGAAAATTGAATGAATTTCTTTATCATCTGAACAACTGTCAGATACTGAAGGAGGACTCTTCTCCATGGCATTAGAACTAGGTTTAAATAGCTTAAGATAGCACCCAGTGGTAAATATTTGTAAATAGTAATGAATCATAAACTTTCATAGCAGGAGTTTTATTGAGTAGCCAATTACCTATTGATTGTTTAGAGGAAGATCGTCAACCATAAAGTTTGTTATTTATAGATCACACTCTTGAGCAGAGTGTGACCACTTCAAACAGATGTATGTTCTTTATTATAGAGTGCAAATGTTGTCAGAGGCTTGTTCCTGAAGCTGCCTTTACCATGATTACATGTTTAATTTAATTTTAATTCAGAAGATGGCAGGACATCAAGCTGTGCTACTGTATATCAACAGTATGGAAAATTAGGTAATACAATCTCATCTGAGGTTATATTCACCACAGCAACCATGTTAAATTTATGCATACTAACATTTATTGTGGTTATGTATTATCAAAGACACATACCAGAAGACATGCACCTTCAAATCCACACATTGTCAGAGCTTTTTCTTGGTGTAATACTTGTTTGATCTACTATATGTCTCATCTGGCTGGAATATTGGCATGTAGTTCAGATGCAAAGAAGCCCTGAGCCTGTTGTATAGTACTATGGAACCAAGGTAAGCCACAATACCGCAAGGTGGGACTGATAGAGGGATCCGCGTCATCATGACTACCAACTCAATGATTGCTGCTACCATATAAGCCAGTAATGCTGGTATGTACCAACGAGACAGGCAACAACGTGGTGGCAAGTCAGCTCGGGTTGTCACCTTCTGAGCAAAGATCAGGAGGTCATCCACTGGAGTGTCATCTGTTATAAAGATAGGTAGGCCAGCAATACCTCCACCAGGACACGTAACCAGCAGCTTGTCCTTTGCACACAGATGGGCCCATGCTGCATTACCTATGAGCATTATCATGAAAACAGGGAGGGAGGTTGAAACATCAATCTACATAATTTAAATATTAAATGATATATATACACAAATTGTAGCAGGTATGGGGAAAACAAGAAATGCATTCAAGATTTTGGCTGAAACTGCAGAAGAAGAGACCACTAGAAAATATATGCAATGAAGGCAAGATTTTATCATCTGGTAATAGCGCATTCAAACTTAATATTACAAGGCTACTGGTTGGAGTTCTACTCTGAAGTTAACTGTGCACTAGCATGCTAAATCAATGCACTGCTAGCTGATTAATACATAAGTGGTGAAGCATGGCTGATAAGTTATAATGGAACTTTGAGACTTGCCAATATTTAAACCAGTTACCTATGAATACATGCCTAGAATATTAATTCTAAACCAACAAGTCCAGTATTCACAGAATTATCATGTGAGGTCACCTGGCTTACCCACATATGTCATCTGTTGTCTGCCACCAGACCCTCCAAATCGCACTAGAGAACTGTCCATTTTCTCAGAGAGGTGAATCAAACTCGGCACTAGATGAGGGTCCTGTTCACCGTATAGTAGTGTGGGGCGCAGCACTACTGTGTGAAGCTGTCCATGACCTGAAGCCAAGCCTCAAAATTAATATACCTTACAATTCTCTATTATTAACAATACCATCATGGAAGCCAAGAGACAGGTAGTTCACTGAGATTAGGTTATGGGCTGAACATTGAAGGTTCAATTTGTGACAGAGGCATCAATTTTTCTGTTTGCTGCCATATCCAGACTAGCTCTGGACCCCTTCCCATTCATATTCAAATGTAATGGTCTTTTTACCTGGGTGGCCTTGACATGAAGCTGACCAATCAACTCTGTTTAGTGGCAATGTAAAGACTGTGAGGAGTTATAACTTCACTCCTTTTATGTCTTCTTGGGGGCATGCTTATTGAAGTACAGGAACAAATTTACCATTCAACCTCCTACCCAATGGTGCTATGAGACTCCATCTCAGGCCTGGAGGATCTAGGTGGCCATTCACTTCCACCTAGTTCTGAGATTAAGAATATGTAAAGCCTTAATTCCAGAGAAATATCATAATGCAGATGGTTGTCACTCCTGATTTATTCTCTGAAGGTTCCAGGTTCAATTTTTGGCCAACTAGGGAGTTTTTTATTACTTTGATTAGTGGGCAATTGTTAGATAGGGGGTTGATCATTATTTTGTGAGACTGACTATGAGGACATAACCTCAAAGTAGGCCACAACTGCTTCTCCAAACAACCTTTCCAAGTATTTCAAGGAACTTTTTTCTCAGAGGAATTTATTTTACATGGAGATTTACATTTGAAAGACTTATCCTCAGTCTTTGAAGTCTTTAGTTGGATTCAGTTCAACAATACCAAAAAATTAAAATTAGAAGGAAATAATAACTGAGCTGTGCTCAGGCACAGAGACAACTTTACCTTCTGCTTATAGCCTTTCTCTACACATGGAAGAATTTCAAGCAAATCTATTGCAAGAACTTATTATTTATTTGAAGGAACAAGCTTGAAGCTTTGTGTTACCAGAACGTACCATTGGAAAGAGGTCTGCCATTAGCAGCCAGGACAATGTTCTCTGCGCCGAGCTTTGAGGCTGGATACCCAGGCAGAAGAAGCTTCCATCCCTTGTCGCAGCTGGGTGCGAGCGCCTTGCTCTCTGTTTGGTTGATGATCATTGCATGTATACCACCCATGTATGGAGTTAGTGTGACCTCTGAGGTGCTACAGAACACCAGTCGGGGTACCCCCATCTCCACACATAGTGACACCACATTACGTGTGCCTGAAGCAATGAATCAAGAAGAAAATCTATCCAGACGTACAGATAGCTAACTCGGATCATCAACCCTTTCCATGCTCAGATTTCTGGCAGGGAAATATGATTTCATTTTACATTGACATTGTAACTTACATACATTCCATGGATCCATAAGATAGTCAGATGACAGTAGGATGTGAAAAAAGTCGTGATAATAATACAATACATATTATAAAGTACAATTCATACTATTATGTAAATTTCACATAATACAAATAAAGGGTTCACCTAAAGTAATGATAAATTACAAATAAATCTACACATTACATACAGAAGATAAATTATCACTCATTTGTAAACAATAGAAATTCGTCAACAGATTAAAAGGAATGTGTAAATAAGTATCTTTTTACTGCTACATTAAACTGTCCTTTTTATTTACGACTTGATGGTAGACTGTTGAAAATTTTGATCCCTGCATAATATGCACTCTTCCAAAAACATGAAAGGTTGGCAACTGGTTTATGAAGCTGATTTTTATTCCTTGTAAAACAATTTCTTGGAATGCAGCATTTAATTAGGTTTAGATGCAAGAAAGGGTAGGTCAAGTTACTTTTCACTGATAATGTCACACACTAAAGAAATAAAGGAAAAGACTGATTTCAAAGTGACATATCTTGTTTATTATGTGGAAAATGTAAGACAGACATGTTGGGGCCCTAAACTACGTCAAGTTTCATAAAAGAGAATAAAACTAGCATGAACATCAGGCCTGCTTAAGCCAGGACAAAGTGGCTAACACCAATTCCCTGACTGGAGCTGCTAAAGATCCATTTTATGTTTGGTTCTCTGTGTTCCATTGTACGGATTACTATTGAACCTCGAAAGTATGATTTTTATGTTTTGTTTTTCGAAGTGTTAGTTGGACTGCACATAGTCATATTATTTTGTATTCTTACGACGTTTACGAATATCAGTTCAAAGATTTCAAAACACATATTCTAAAATTTATCACAAAATGCTTCCAAAATAGCACACGTGGCTAAATAAATAAAGTATTTTAAAAGATGGCTGTATTCAGGGTTGTTGCTTCGAATGTGATTGCTCTGATGCTGGGGGCATCAAGCATTTCTGAAACCTCGGTAAACGTCTACCAGACTGCACGACGCAACAACCTAGAAGATAGCCATCGACTTGTTTCAACAAAGACCAAATGCCACCTGAAAGAACCGACGTTGTGTAATCGTCAATTCAATAGGATCATCTGCATATAATGGGCTGACCTGTGACGTTGACACGATCCAGCGCCTCCTTATCAGGTGGGAAGCTGTAACTGACCAACGCAGCACAGTGAATTACGCAGTCCACACCTCGGAACGCCTCTCGCACAGCTTCCAAGTCCACGATGTCGCCAACGATCATCTTCATGAGTTTCTGCTCTTTGTGGTCTGGACATACATTCAAGTTTCAGCCATCAGAAGGATGTAACTGCTAAAGGCATGGTGACCAAACATATCGTTTACAACTAAACTCGTAGAATCGAGAAGTTATTCATCACTAATTTCACCGTCCTCTTCGCCTTAAATCAAACAATTGTTAAGATCAGCGGTGATTGAAATTCCATTTTGTATGTTTTTTTATTTAAAATATTGAATTTATTCAGTTGATCATGGAATTCCCTGATTTTACAAATAGGAAATTGTATTATTTATTCACAGAGCGACTCCATCCCATGTTCATATACCGATAATCATCTTAATTATCATCGTAATAGTACCATACACTACAGCAACATTAATTTTCGTTGAGTACAGCTGAATACAACTGTATTCGTATAGCCACGTCCGATTTCTATTAGATCCAGGCAATATGGAACCCCAGTTTCCTGCCTCAACATGATGCAGAAACCTAAAGGAAATTGTCAGAAGACATGGTAAACTATCCCACACTGTCATCAGTAGCGCTAGCAGACTGCATCTTAAGAAGGCAAGTCAAAGATACATTTGGGATTATTTCAAACAATGGACGAGACGTTAAAAGGTCCTATAACACAGTCTCATTATTTAAATTTATGTCTACCGATAAAGTAGAGTTCCATATTAACAGCAACGTTTACCAGGAGGAAATTTTTTATATTTTCTTACTCTTATTACATTTATGAAAAAGTGTTTTTTATATAATTATTTTATTGGCAGTGCCTGTTCGTTAAATAAATGTTCTAACCCTTGATGCGTCAGTTTTCAGATTTAATGTAACCGAAAAACCTCAAAAGATCCGAAAACAAAATGGGTTCCATAATACCACATTTTCCTCTAGTAGTTTATTACCCTGACACTTATGTCTAGGTCTTCCAAGTGGCCTCTTTCCTTGTGGGATTTGTGACCAAAATTTTGTATGCATCAAGATTCGATTTACTAGTTGGCTGTCACCTACCCAGATGATTCACGTATGGTTTTAGGTCCAGAATTCGAATCTCTCGCACCTTTGGGTCTTTCTCTTGTAGCAGCTTTACAATGTGTTGTCCAAGAAAGCCACTTCCACCTGCATAAAAATATGTTTACCAAGTAACACTTTCATAGACTACGAGTTTGCACTAAACGCATAAAATGGAAGGACGATAGGAACGTCACCTTCCCACATACAGCTGTCTGTCATGAATATTTCATCTGAAAAACTGCTGAAAGGATTTCAATTAAGTTTAGAAGTGGGGGTTACAACAAAAGTTTAGCGCCAGTTTAATTTTGGTTATTATCGGTGCAAATATAGCCTGTACCTTACAGGAAGCGCAAATCACAGATATTTATTATAGGTTCAGATCACCTAGTTCCAAATTCAGCACCATTTTCTCATTTCATTCGACGCTATATAACTTCTAAAGATTAAACAGCTTTGTTAAATAGGTAACTTAAGGATCTATCAATCACGGACTATCGACTGAAGTCCATGATGGAAATGTTGAAAATTCTTAACTATTCAGCATTCCTGATAATCTTCACTCCTCATTTTTACGCCATATAATCTCCGTAATTGAAACAGCATTAAGTTACTTAAGAATCGACCAGTCGAGATTACTTACCAGTGACCAGAATTACTTCTGAGCTGCTTTCTTCCGCCATGGATGCAAAGGTTTTGTTTACATCCAGTACTTTCTGGTGCTTGAAATGTATTGCTTATTTCTGTAAGGGGAGAAAGTGCACTAGTTAATAATAGCCCACAGCAATATTTCTATTTTCAGACAACCATATTTTGAAAACAAGAGCAAATTATTAGAAACTGAAATTCCGTTCTACTCTGGCCAGTTTGTCAACAGGTCACTTAGACACACAATAAAACAAGTTATGGTGCTCAGGGACATACGAGGTGCGATCGGAAAGTTTCAAGACTGTGTCAATAGAGGGCGAACCGGGTGTAGTACGAGCTTCTGCCGCTAGGGGGTGCGGCCTACATTCATAGTGAATCAGTGTGCCAGCCGGCATCATCGAATTAGCATTTGTTTCTTAGTTACGGGCGTTTTGGTAGTGCATTACACCGACCCTCCTGCGATTTCGG